AAACACAGATGACAAAGCAGTATTCTAATACTTCATTAGATACTTGACTAAACAGATTACCAGCAACAGTAGAAGCTACATATAACTCTCAAGAAAAAATGAAATCTAAATGATAACACCGGTACACAAAGAGTAAAAGAAGTCTTCATATCACATATTTTTATGCATTCAAGATTTATACTATCTCAATCACTTCGAACATTTTTATCTTATCCTCTTTCGTGATGTGTATACAAACAGCTCTGAACTGTACAATTTAAAAGCTACATCAGAATTATGGACGTTTTGGCGGCAAACTGTTTCTCAGAGATACCATCAGTTAGAGAACAGTGTTATCTTAATTTCTTCACCCGCTGGTATAATGCATCCACAACCTGTAGCAATTTCTTAATTATAAAAAAAATTTACCGAATATTCCAATCCAGAAACAATCAAATGCATTTCAAACAAATCTTACTTCACTCATAGCATGAATGGCTTCCACTGCTGCTTCGTATGTTTTATCCATAGGAGCAAGATCATACACAATCAGCATACCTTCGCCTTGATGTAAGCTTCCTACAAATAATATCCAATTTAGACACAAATTAGAATGCTAGCAGAAAACTTTGATTCATGAAATATGTTTATATGATTACCTGAGAACTTCCTATCCAGTATCATTTGTGACAACTTCTTCTCCACTTTATCCCTAGTAAGCCCAATTTTTGAAGCAATGTGTTCAAGTTGGACATAGGAATATGGTTCAATTATCCGGCATAAATCTTTTTCGAGCATACTATCACTTAAAGAATTAAAGTGTTTCTTCACAACAGCATCACATTGTAGCTCATCACGAAAGCTTCCAAATGCCTGAAAAAGTAATTTAAACATTGTGTAACTCATAAAAACAAATATAAAATTATTAAAGATCAAACATACAGCATTGAAGTCAGCCAATGACCGTTTTTTGGCAGCCTCAGCAACTGCACGCATGGCATCTAAATCTAATCCACTATATTTAAGCGCTAGCTTTGCCGATAAAATTATTGAGACTTCCTCCGGTGAATCAAGCATTATCTGAAGAATATTACTGTGACAACGTTCACTTTGAAACATCATAAGAAAAAGTGCAGAGAAAACAAATATATAATCAGTATATCCAATAAGATGCTGCAAAACTAACATCTAAAGATGGAAGTCTGTAAAATGAAACCTTGCTCAAAAGCATATACTTAAGGGCACGTATAGCATCTTGTTTATCATTAACAGTGTCATATCCTTCGAAGGCTTCATAAAAATACGAATAAGCAGTTTTAAAATCGCGTTCACTAGCAGCATGCAAAATCCCAGATTGCATATCAAGCGCAGCCTGCATGCGGGGAGGCATGTAAATTGAATTTGCTGTTGTCCTTGCTGATGTCAAAGCAGCTCTAGCCTAGAAGAAATTCATTAAGAGCAAAAATTAAAAAATTTTTCAGATGCTCTAGAGATGCTTTCAAAACTTAAACAGCTTGTCTTCTCTCTGATATATCACCATTTACCACATACTGTTGACGAAGCATTAAGTAATTAGAAAAGTGATGAAGACATAAAATCGAAGTTATATGTGTTAGTTAAGATGTTAACAATGAAAAGTGATTTGGAAATACCATATAGCAACCTTTGACAGATTCCCTAAATGGTAGCAGGCTTTGCTTTCTTCCAGTTGTACCTCAACAATCACATCTTTGTCATCGACTTTCTTTAGTTCGCGAACCAACTGATTTGCTAAAATGTATAGTGACTAATTATGCGATTAGTTACAAAAAACGGTATTAGAATTCAAGAAATGCAAAACTTATATACCTAACTGTTGTGCTTGAGTGAATCTGCGAAGATCGTTATAAAGACGAACAAGACGAGCCTGCAATGTCTGTCGCAAGAATGTTCGATTTTGTTCGGTAGCCCATTGTATACATTCTTTGCATAGATCAACCTTGCAAATATATCATCAAAAGTGAGGAGAAAATCATCTTATCAAAGAAAAATTTTTATAGATGACCCTTATCTCTTTTGAATGTTCGATTGTTATTCCAAGACCACAAACTCTCGACTACCTCGCAACGTTTTGCTGATAGGAAGAGGCACAAAATGCAAAAGAAAATCCAGTACTTCGTTATTGATTCTTTTAGAAACAGATTACCTTGATGTCTCCATCTTGATTATCAATCATAAGACATAGATCGACCAAATTCCGAACAAGCTTGGCCGCTTTTGCCTTGCCTAATGATACTAAAAATGGACGAGTATTTTCAATCATTTTGCGCAATTCTTGAGTACGTTTATTCTTCGCCAGCATATTACCCAGCTCCATAATTGACTCTTCTTTCTTTTTGATATCTGCCTCATCATTCACTGGTGATTTTACTGCAAAAGTTTTCAAATGTCATAAAAGAAAATTACTTTGTATATCAATATTTACTGCTTATGCAAGATGGTATTTATCAATGAATAAAATGTTCACGCAATTTTTGCCATTTTATTACAATCAAATTTAAGTTTATTCAAGTTTCGGAAGTTAACAACAGTACGCGGATTTCGAACCACAAAGCCTAAGTAGGTATCCTATTATTTTGTCGGTTTTCTAGAAATAGGTGAAATATCCTTTCAATCAATTTTGCACTATTCATCCAATGAAAGCAAGTGTGGTTCTGAATAGTGACAGACCAAGCTATTTATACAAAGTTCATGTCTACAGCAGGGAATAATGTACCCACCAAACAACCGCTACGAGATTTGATATAAATCGAAGACAAAAAGCTTCTTGAAAAGTCAATTTTTACCAAAGCTTGTGAGATAACGTATAGCGTTATCTTCATTCATATGAGGTGCAGATGACATCGTATCCATGGCAGTACCGCCAGACATTTCTCTTACAGTAATTCTGAATTTGTTTTATCGTACAGAAAATGTGCTAAAATGCGAATATATCCTTAATCCAAGCTTTATTAAAATGAAAAGAAAAATTCATGATGAATAGGACGCTAGAAAGTGTAACGCTTTAGAAGTCATTAAGTATTTAAAAATCGATTCAAAAAATATAACTGGAGACAACTTTTAATGTAAATGCTTTACAGTTAACCACAGATTCACATGAAAATTTAAATATCCTGCTAATTATGCTGAACGTAATTACTACCATAATTAGTAGAGCTCACTGTCAGCATAAACTGTCCATAACGTTCAAGCCACTATGAAAATCTTCCTTTTCAGTCTAAACAAAGTATAACCGAGAGCAGAAAAGTATAACTCAACAATTCACTGAGATGTCTAGTGGAAGCAGAGGAGTTCGAACGCTAACCTTCCTATCCTATCCTACCTCCTTCAAAATATCTACGGCATATCAACTGAGGCTAGTGTTCAAGAATTTAAACATGTAGATCCATACCAAATCGTACGCTTCTGAACACAACATAAGCTATGCAAGACGCATCATGGTATATTTTTAAGACCGCTTCGACAATCGATATCACAAGAAGTACTCAAAATCTACCCACGGACCACTAACTCTCCCACATATTCAGAGCACGTTGACACGCACTGCTCACAGATTCTAGTGGTTAGCTGCTGCCGCTGCTACCTACCCGAACAGAATCACTGGTGTACCATCAACAGTACACCATAGACAGAGTCATTCGATCAAAACGATGACACATCCTATCTACCGTACGCTGAGGTAGTAGCAACATCTCAGGACCCTTCCAGCTTCCTGCAGCTAGATAGCTTGCACTTCCATTTTCAGCCATGTGTCTGCAGTAAAAGTCAGTGCTACAAGGTCACTTCACTGACAAAAGGTGCTAAAGAGGTGTGATTTGTGGTTACTGCTAGTGTTACTTCATCTGTTGATTATTCTGTAAGGGTGAAATAAGGAGACCGCTTGTTTATTAAGATTTTGTTTTAGAGGAATAAACATTAGCAACGACCTCCATCTTCTACAACCAACCTAAAGCCATAGACCAAAGCATCACCCTTGAAACTTCGTCCTTCTCCTCTAGTATATCAATTTTACTCAGCAAATACTATTCCGAGACTTCGACATTGGTTTCTACTCAACATTATTTTGTATCAGCTCACAGTTATTGCATACTGTTCTGCACATAGTGAAACAAAAGGTTCACAGTTAAACATCGCTTCCCGCTGATGTTTCGCTGTTCCAAATGCTTTTCATCTCACTTATGTTGGATCAATTCACATAGAGAGCTAATGCAGGCAAGCTATCTAAATCATCTCATCAAATAACGAAGCCAATCTCTCTGATTTTCCATTTCCCTTTTATATGAACTTCTGCCATCAACAGACCCCACTTCAAGTGAGAGAGAAAAAATGTTTTGCTAATGGTTGGATCAAATCTTCCCAAATCATGGATAGTATAGCCAGAAAATAGATAGATGGAGGGGAGGGGAAAGGGGGAGGCAGATCTATAATTAGAAATTGTGGTGTGTAATGTCAAGAAAAAAAAGACTTGGCTTTGATGCGCTCATAATTCTTATTTAATTTTGAATAAAAGTTAACACACACAACTCTCCCTCCATCTCGCGATACGAAGTTTCAAAAAAAATAATTGCTGCAGCATAATGAGGAACGAAGATCCCGTCTGTTAATTACAATAAGCCAGAAGAATCGTTTCGAAACTTTTCTGATATCTTCAAATCCAATGACATCGAAAGTCAAAAAAAAAAAAAAAAGAAAACAATTCTCCGAAATCTGTAATTTTAGGAGCAATTCGGGCTAACACTTAAACATTCAAGGATTTGCAAATTCTCGACAGCAAGCAAAATTTATATCAATGCATAACACTAACTTAAACTGGGTGAGCTTAGCGGGTAGACCTTAGATATGACGACCAAAATAAAGAGAAGGAATGAAGTGACCATTCATAGACAAAAACAGTGCTTTATACAATGGAAAATTATAAAAGCAAGATTTCCAACGTATGACAAAGCTAGAGGGGATACGTAAGTAATATAATAACCAGAAAACTAATCATCTCCTGGTGGGACTGATTCTTCCAGTATTCGAATGAATTTTACTCTAATCTCAACACTCTGACTGTGTTCCTGCAGAATAAATGTTTGCACTTCCATGTGCATCATTTCCAAAGCTCCTCGTATTGCCCCACAAAGTATTTGTGAATACCTTAAAATTTGCTATTTCACATGAAGATAAACTGAAAAAAAAAAAATGGCTTATAATTCAGTTTCTCCCTTCTCTAATTCAATTAGAATGACTTTTTAGGATAATTTTTTTTTTAAAGTTCATTTCTTCGTCTTGCTTTATGGCTTTTGCTGAATTTATGTTTTTTATCAGGCTGTCATCCATTACCGGACAACGCTCATCACATGGATTTCAATATATTTTTGTTTTATGCATATGATAAAAGAAACAAATATACATATTATATTTCTTTCTACTAACCCCCAGATCTGACAAAACCAACCAATTATCATTAACCTACCAATTAAATATTCATTGCAAATTTTTCACTTCCCATTAAATAAACTGTCCGGAATAAAAGAAATAAATATCACATCAATTAATACCAACCTAAGATCTTGTGCTAATTCAGGTGGGACTTCAACAAATTCTGCTAAAGGATTTGATTCAAGGACAAGCGAGAATTCGTCATTACGAGCATTCCAATTTGACACTTGCGCGGTTACTCCTAAAAAGCAGTAGAAGCTTCATAAAAATAATGACCACTCAGAGAAATGGATGTAGAAATTAGTTGAAAACATTAACAGTTTCGATACAATAATTTTGCATGAAATTGAATGGAATAAAAAGCGACAACATTCCACAAGAAAAAATTTTCCAAAACTTTTTCTCACCCAGATAACTGCGAAGAGCGACTTTTGCGAGCACATCTGCAACTTGATGCATATCTGTACAACGCTGAATTTGAGAATTTTTTGCTAATAAATCATCGGCTAATCGTAATCCTATATTATAGCCCATTTTGTCCAATTGTCGGTTAACCTGAATTACTAAATTATGAATCAAAAACTATGAAGAAAACAAAGAAAGAAATAGATTAGGGGAAATATTGTGAAACTAACCGCCAGAGGGCTTTCTAAATCCCGAAGTAGTTCCGCCACCAAAGCGCCATACGTAAGGGTGAATAGCTCACCACTAATCTAAAAATGATTTAAAAGAATAGTACTGTTTCCTCTTTTTTGGTACAATCTCTTTTTTTAGACCAAAGGCGCATAAGTTAACAGTACCATTCTTAGCTAGCATTCTACCTATGCGCCTACAACCCGCTGAACAACTTGATTAATAACTGTTCCAAATAAATCACAGTATATCCCAAATATATCTAAAACATATCAATAACATTCCTGTTTTACCTTGATGATCTTCTTCTCCACTCCTACTTTCTGTCTTACAAAAAAATATACCTTTTTCGAGTCGATCCCCATCGGGAATTTGGTCTGTTTCGACATATTTAGCTCAGTAGTAAAGAACAAGGAAAATGAAAGTCCTAAACAGTAAAGTTACAATTAGTAGAATTGTAAACATTACATGGTATAAATATTTTCAAGCACATAGAAAAAAATGTATTTTTCAAGTACTAAATGATATTTTAGAGCTTCCCGAAATCATGCTCTGATTTGAATCCTTTTTACTAAACTTTATTTCCTTTCATTTACTGTATGCTAATCATTCTCCCTACAAACTTTACTCAGATTATGTATCAAATTCTAACATTTCCAGTGTAAATTCTGACAAAAATAATGCGCATCTGAGCAGCAGTAAAATTTTTGAAGTTACAAAAACAAACTTAAATATAGCTTATCAACTTCTGGTCAGAAAATAGTGCAGCAGTTATTACAGATACGATCAAACCATAAGATAATGTGAACCTTATAGGCGCCAAACTTTACATTTATTAACAATCAACGAAATCAAACTTTGGTCCATTGAAAAGCAAGCAAAACAAAACACACAGTACGGTATTGCAATAGTATTCATACAAATGCAAAGCAGTAAAAAAAATGTTTCAATAATTGTCATAAAGTTAGTGGTAAATAGATAATGGTAACTATTTCATAAAGTTAGTAGAAGTACATAGGTAGGAGCTCTCCAGAAATTAGGATGAAAAAATAAAGTGCAGTAATCAAATTTTATTCATAAATACTCAGCTTTAACTCAAATTCGCAGCTATTTTGACCTCCCATTTTTTTTTCTTGCCACAAAATAAATTACTATTTTTCACTTCTGACTCTCAAAACATACAATAAATATAATTAGGATGACTGAGGAGATACGTCCAGTTTATTCAGCAAAAATTTCCGTCTCCGTTCCAACTCGCCTTCACTTAATTCTGACTCATTACTTCCATTCTAAAAAATTAATTAATCGCAAAATGTGGCGCAGCTAATGGAATTCTTAAATATAAATATAAAATGTAAGACTAACAACAACTTGCCTGATGTAGCGGAGAATCTTCTCCTCTGCACTGCTTTTCAATAAATTCCTATAAATTATACATATAAGAGACACTTGTCATGATAAGTAGAACAAAACACATGAAAATCAGTACTCACAACAGACTGCGATCTTGAGCAAGATTTTGAATGTAGCCGTTTTTTCTTTTTTCTACGCTTTCGCTCTGCTCCTGTAATTCGCCATACTCATAAAATGAAATTTCAAAACAAAATTAGTGGGAGGACAATTTGAAAAAAAAAAAAGATCGCAAATATATCATTTTGTTGAAGCGTTTGGTTCTTCTTAGAAAATATCAAGATATATCAGACTTATAAATAAAGTGAAACATAATAAAGAATCACCTCTTTCTTCATCGCTTATATCCGATTTATGATGTTTCTTTTTTTTTTTCGGTCTTGCTTCGCCTTCTGTTTCGCTGTCTTTCTTAAGTGCATAAATCATTTGTAATTTCATCAAAATGTAGGAAGGAAAAAAAAAGTAGGTAACAAAAAAGTACAATAAATAAGCAAGTCATTACCTCTTCCTTTCGGCGTCTTTTCTTATCTTTCTTTTTCTTTTTTGATGAACCATGATGATGACCACAAGCTTCTGCCAGATTTTGGAGATAATCCTATAATTTGGAACCAACAATTCTATACATTCAGCCACCAAATATTCGATTTAAAGAGAAAGAAAAAAAAGACATCGCTTTCGCACTTAAATATTAGTCAAAACTTAAGCCACATTAAAGCATATAGTTTCCTGCGATTTGGTATACATAAAAAAACTCAATTATTTAAAAAAAAAATTAAAAGAAAAAAAAAAAAAAAAACAATCACATTAAAGAATTTCTCTCGAAGCTGCTCAGTTTCAACTGCAATAAACGCTTCTTCGTTTTCAATTTTTGGTCGTATAACTTCCCACTGTGAGTTCGGTTCAACAGGAGGAACCAAAGTTCGTAGGATGTTTCGAAATGCTGTTTCATGCCGCCTTCTCTGTAAATATGCGGAAAAAAAGTACAATTTCTTCTGTTTGTGGGATTCTTTTTTTGTTGCTCATCACACTTGCTATGACCTGACCATAAGTTATATATTTCACTTAACTTAGCACTGAATGTATATTACCTTATATTTCATTCCGAAATGAAAGCAGCAATTTTCTTACTGGTCATTCACTTAGTTAATTATGTCATTTAATTTCTATTAATTCATCTCTAAATTTATCCATATCCAACCTTTCTTGCTTCCTCACGCTCCTGTTCTTTTTCCTTAGCTTCTGCTTTTTCTACCAAGGAATTATAACAAAGTTTCATGTTACCCGGATCAACGGTTTTACCTCTTTCATCAGATGATACCCACTTGCAAAGTTGATCAAAAGTTGTGCCTACTTCGACTGTAACATTCAGATCCTGCAATTATAACTCATAATCTGACTGGACAAAAAATTTTCCAGCACTTCAAAAATATAGAACCCTGACTACCTTTAAAATTTCTTTTATCACTCGTCGATCTTGACCAAACTGACTTTTCAAATCCTCAACGTAAAATTTGAATAAATCTAATGGTGTGCTACCCGACTGTTTCAACATATTATCAAAACGCGAGTCAGCAGAAATAACAGGATACAGTTCACTCCATAATGATATTGAAGTCAATTCACCTGCAGTTAAACATTTTTCCAAAAAATGACAAGAAATATTAATAACTAAAAACACCAAAAAGCTATCACTAGCAATCCACAATAATAATTGACCTTCATGTGCTCTGATAAAATGAAAAAAAGTAATTAATTCGGAAAGAACTAACCTCGTTTGTGTAGTTCCACTAAATAAGCTTGGAAAGCTTCACGTATCTTCCTTTCTTGTCGACGCCTTCGACGCTCTTCCATGTCCTTTTCTTTTAAATAATGCTTTTCTGCCGTCCGTATATGTTCTTCAAAAACAATGAGGGCATCTTCTTTGTCCATATCTAAACAATTCCGATCAGAATAATCAATTTTACATTATCTCAAAATTTCAATCGCATATTAACAAAAATATCAGCGTAAAAAACCTATTAAAAAAAAAAAAAAAAAAAACATAAATAAAAATTCCCATAAGCATTCCAATTGTAACAAAAGATTTCAATTTCGGACGATATAAGCTTAACAGCAGTAAAATTCAATATAACTCACTCTGTAATGTGCTATCATTGGCAAATGAAGGATTTTCAATAAGAAGACGCTGAGCTTGCGCCCAAGTTGTCCGATAAGTTATTTCTTCCATTCCTTCCAGAATATCAGCCAGAGCTTGAACATTTCTACGGCGGATAGCTTTCGCATTTTCTTTTTCACGTTTGTCTATGAACTCCTACAAAGAGTTCTATGTAAAAAAAGAAAGTGTTTGAAAACGTAAATTTTTTGAAATCCATAAAAATATATATTTATAGTATCATAATAAGACTATTCCGACAATCTCCGTGATCCTCTAACAAAAATACGATAGCAAGTCGAAAACACCTTCAATAACTCTTGAAATAAGTCTACAATTCGTCGTCAAACACATAATTCAAACATCAGTTGGATAGCATATTAGCCTAGCGAATTGTTAAAAAATAAATGAATACAAAGTATACAAAGGTGGAAAACATATTCTACATAATAGCAACTGGCTAAACTTACTAATGCATCCGCAAAAATCTCTTTTCGTTCACCTTCATGTACAGCTTTCCAGATAGGTTCATCAGCAAAAAGTATTTCTGCTTTGGAGTAACGCATAGTTGGTCGTACCTTTGAATTATTCTGCAACCATTCCTCCAAATCCTCTTTTGCTTTTTTGATAGCGAGACGTTTCTCATCCTTGAATGTCAAGCAGAAGTAATAAAATTAAATATTTCAAATGTTCATTTCGCTGCAATAATTGGAGCTGTTCATGCGATGAAGTTTGCGTATATTGGCAGTCTTCCAGCTAAGAAACACATCAAAACCTGAACTTCACATTTTGGACTTTCCATCTGCTAACCTACTAAGAGCTACCTGGCTGGTCTTCCCAGTCAGTAGAATCAGAAACTTTTCATCTCAATAACTTTAACCGACCGGCATCTTTCCAACACTTCACACCATTTGCTATTTTTAGCAACCATAGGTCTATATTAATTTCACATAATATCCAGAGAAGTTGTAAGGAGTTTCACATATTTAAAATTATGCCGTAATCATTTACCCACTTTCTAAGTCTTTCAAGAAGCAAAGAAAACAGGATGGCGCAACACTTTGTTCGAAAGGAAACTGCTGGGTCGATCTTTTACAGGTTATTTAAATATGTTATTTAAAAAAAAATATTACAGGTATTCAAAAAAAAAAAAATATTTTACAGATTATTTAAATATTACAGTTATTTAGATATTAATCCGCAGATGTAACATTACATCATATTATTAGATAAATTTCATCGCATTATGACTTATCTAATAATTAAAGTATGTAACAAAGCGACCATTAAATAAATGCGAATTTGATGTAAATTTAAAAGAATTAATTAAACTATTTCAACTTCTCGCTCTTCTTTAGAGTTACGGGACTGTTACGTTCCAGACAATTGAAGTGGAAAGAGAGGCCATTATGGTACGACGTGTATGTAGCTAATCCACCACATACTGAAACTTCTACAGATACATCATTTCCGATCAGAAAATTATATTACAAGGACGATATCGCTATGGCGTGAGTCACTATGCTTTTCAAATCTCCATAAATTCGTCAGCATTACATACTCGAAAAAAATGTTCAATCACAATTAAAAGAATCATATCTTTCTTTGATTTCCTTATAGTCTATCTCAACTCTTTTATAGACATTTTACGCTTATTTCAGGCGATTTTATAAGCAGTTCCGTTCATTGGGGGCTATAAGTATCAGTAATGAAGAGTCGGAATCACTCTGTAAAAAATTCACCGACCTTTATAAGACGATCGGAAAAACGTGGCCTGAACTAAACGACGATGAGCACTATCAAAAAGCTTTGGTGATGCTGAATAAAAAACTTATCTTGGAAAAGAGGGGAATAAGCGGACAGAAATCTTTGCAGTAAAAAAGAAAAAAAAATTGATCATGCTCAAATAATTTTTGTATTTAAAATATTAATAAAAGTTCAATAAAATACCTGTCCTACTTTCTAGACTTTTATGACATTTCTAGTAACATGTAATTTAGCTTAAAGAAGAGTACTTTTCCCTCATTTATTGTTCTAGTCAAGTACTATACACTTTGGAAGTGCAGTCTGAAGATAAGTATTTCGGATAAAATCTTTAACAGCTTCACAAGAGTTTGCTGTATAATGGAGCTACAACAAGTTGGTATTCAAAGTTGCAATTGCGCACTATTAATTTACAAAGGCCGAAAGAACAGTATGAAATGAAAATAAATGTTGACAATCAAAAATCTCTCAAATTAGCAATGGAAAAAAACGCAGACATACCCTCTCTTCTTTTTGCCTCTGCACTTTCCATGCATTGAATAACTGCTTTTTCTCACTCACTTTATTCAAAATACGAAATCTAGGATCATGCTGAATATATCTCATTGCTTGTTCCCATGAGCTAGTAGATGATATCTTCCCTTCATTGTACTGAAAAATAACACTGAATGTTTACGAAAAAAGGCATTTTTTTTTTAATACAACCAACTTATTTTCATTGAAAGCATTAATTTACCTTATCTCGTAGAAGATCTCGGAATTTATCACTTTGTTTCTGTTTTAAATCTTTTTCTTCTTCTGCATCTTCTGCATCTGCTTCTTTCACATTCCCTGTTTGTTCCTAAACATTGAAGATTGAGTATTTAAAAACTACAAATCACATTACACTGAATTCCACTTGATAAAACTATGTTTTACATTAGGTTGTTCAAGCGACTTTAGTGTGGCCAGCACTGCTTTTTCCAACTCAGATTCTCCACCACTCTGCAATTCTGTTTTTGATGTATCACTCCCTTTCGACTCTACGCCACTTTTTACTGAAAACATTTTCCAAAATTGCCACGAGTTTTTTCCAAGTATGAATAAAGAATTCTTTGTTAACATGCTGACCAAAAGATAGTATGCAGATTTTGAACTAATATTACTGAAGTGGGTGTAGCTTTTTCGATTAATCTGGAAACGTGATACAGTGATGAACCTGCACCATCTTTTTCAACATCCTGATAATAATTACGAAAAGCACCTTTTGTTACAACTGCTGGATCAAAATCTTTCGGACAAATCCAAGTCGTCTCTTTAGTTTCGATATTATAATAATAAGGTCGCCCTTCGGGTGTTTTGTATTCACGCCATAGTTTTGCAACAGCTAATTTCTTCTAAAAAGTAGAGTGGTACTTATATAAAGTACGCAGTATTCAGGAAAGAAAATTCATCGCATACCTCCTCGGGAGTTTTTAACTCATCCGGTTTTTGCCATGATGATTGCTTTGTTACTTTGTTATAGTAATACACGCGTCCATCAGATGCTGTGTGTTCGGACCAAATCTGCAATGTTTTGAAAAGATTATATTTCAATTCTTTCTTGTATACCTTACATGAGAATATCATATATGTTACTATTTATCAACATACGTACATCACTGGTGACGGGGGTTGTACCAACAGAAGTGCGAGGAGACTGCGTTGCAGCAGCTATTTCCATCTGCATCTGAGGTGGAACAAGCATTGGTCGTGGTGTAGTAGCAGGTGAAGTTACCGATACTTGGGGAAGCTGTAGTTGTGTTGGTGCTGAGCTTACAGTCATCATCGGTACTGGAATAGAGATTAGGTGAACAGAATGTCGAACTGTGATAATTTCTAAATTGAACTGCCTAATAAAAAGGCTCACTTCTTTGCAGTGGTGGCATGATAACTTGTTGTTGCAAGTATGTTGCCTGTGATGCAGCTGCTGCTGCATTTGGTGATATATTTATCAAAGGAGAGAACGCTGGTGGTCCACCGAAGGGTAGCATTTTCTCCCTGTAACTTGTATGCTTTGTCCTGTTATAAAACGAGTATCGTCCTTCGCCCTGAATACTGATACAAATAAATCTGAGATTCCGCCCGATACCCTTCTGCACTTCCATCCGTTCTCAGAAAATAGTTAAAAGAAAATCGCAGAAATTAGCAGCATTATATCTTCCTCTCTTATCACCACAACCCACCGAATAAGACCGATTTCACAAGATATAATTTAACTACTAGTGAAAAAGTTGGTAGAAGATACCACTTCAATCTAATTATCGTATTTTAACTCGCAACTCAATAATATGTATAATATATATTTGTAAATTGACCACTTTTCACTGTCCTAATTACAACCACACTTGCTAAAGAGTTTCAATCATTTCATTTCCAGATCATTTCCTTCAAGAATCTGTGGCTCGTAAATTATTAGACAATGAAAAATTTACTGAAACTTAACAAAGCTTCTACAACGATTAATAAAAACATCCGAACACGAAATTCAAATCTAACACCACGTAGATATATATAATACATTTTCCAATTGTACTCCCTCATGAAATAAACGTTCAAAGTAACTCAAAAAAGACAAGGCTACAAATATATATATATATATACATATAATATAATCCAGCAAAATAACAACTTTATTTAAAATAAGCATACGAAAAGTAGCACAATAGACCCGGAATTATACGATGTGAATGAGACCCAGTGGCTTCATTTATATTTGAATCTTTCTGACAACAGCACCACCACTTGCTATATTAAGTGAAATGAACAACTTTGTACATTATCCTTCACAACGTATATATATATATATATATGCTTAAGTTAAATAATCTCTAAGATTGTCCTTTTATCTAAAACTTCTGCACAATTACAGTTCTCAGAAAACTATTCGTTAAGTCAAGCATCTAACTTGATAAGTGCAAAAAAGCAACAAGCTTTAAACTTATCTCAAACAATCCAATTATATTATACTATATTAAATGAAAATGCACCCATATCGGAAAATTTTCTGAAAACACATTGATGGAAGACACGTATTTAGAGTAAAATAACGTAAAATGAAAAAATGGTAAAAGTAACTTAAATTAAACATAACGAATACGAAGCAGTCAATGAAGTTTGGCAGGCACCTACGACTGAGCTTCTCAATTCTGAACTAATAATCAAATCCCTTACCCTTCTGATGATGCGATAATAAATAGACTAGACTATCGAAATGTACCCAATAAAATGAATTTGTCAGTGGGTGCTATAACATAAAATGCAATAACAGAACATACTGAATCTATTATAAAAATTAGAAGGGAAATATTATTTATAAGGGGCTAGAAGAAAAGCATTTGAGAATACGACAATCTTCTGTTCACCACTGAATAAGTTGGAGGTAATCTTATATTACGAACAATATATTTCATCATCATTACTTCCAATTACATCGTCCATTGGAAAATCAGGACTGCGATCTAAATTATTTCTATTAAACACTAAATAGCGGCAATAATATCTGGGATATTTTTAATTTAAAAGATATTAAAGCAAAGTGAAATGAGAGTTCCTTGTGTTATTAGTTTTGAAAACGTTATAAAATCAGTAGATGAGAATTACATATTCCATGATTTCAATGTAATATTACTTTATAAAGGTGAATACAAATTTATCCATTTTAAGACCCAATTTCTTAATAACCATTATGCCAAGTGCTATAACTTTTTTCGAAGTAAACCGAATGCATTAGGACTATGTCCAAATATCATGCAGGCAAGTAACGCTCTAAATCCATAAACTATTAGCTGAAATTATCTATTCATTGGGGCAGATGAATAACAACTTACTTCTCTCAGGTGGTGTAACTGGTGGTTCTAAGACCAAAAAGCGTAGTATATCTGAGAGTGAAATGATTCCTATCACTTTCTCATTGTGGTCAACAACCAACAATCGATGCACTTCGGCAAGAACTATCATTTCTACAATCTTCATTAATGAATCATCTGGTGAACAACAGCGTACTCCCTCAAACCACTGAAAATTGAACTTTTTTAAAGAAATCTGTTGATTTCTTATGTATTAAAAAAATTTAATTGGTAACAAAAAATGAAGCTTACATCAACACGATACTGTAAAGCTTCCCGCGCTGTAATATCCAAATCAATATATGACTTATTAGCCGCTAAATTTATAGCGTCGAATTTAGCATAAATGTCGATAACCTGTAAAGTGTCCTAATCGAATTTTTTAATGTATTGGATTATTCACTATGAATTTTTGCAGACTTATAATGCATCAACAATACCTCCCACATAATTTTCATAAGACTGTTCAAAAATAGCTATAACTGCAGTAAGCCCATCATCTATTAAAAGAAAAAAATTCGATGAGAATTTTTACTTAAATCGATTTTTCGGAAAATAAAACGTACTTTCTCATTTTCGTCCAATACAGGTAAAGCAGACACCCGTTTAGAAAGAAATATATCCATAATATCTATTAGTGAAGTATTCTCAGTAATTGTTGAAACAGCATTCCATGTACCAATTCCTAACTCACGAGGTGTCTTCTCCATGAAGGATGGACAAGGTAGATCGATCATCTAAAATCATCCATAAGTATTTTATGGATTCTAATCCAAAATCCTATAAATTAAATCATCCAAAAAATCCTATAAATTCATTCAGTATAATTTTTTTGTTCAAGAAACGAAAGTCTTATAGAAATTTAAGACAGCACCAGAATTTTAGTCAAATTTTAATCAAGTTATTCCTAACAAATTTCCCAAAAAAATTCGAAACAAGTACAGCTTCAGGCACTGAAATTAACGTAACTACTTTTACAGCAAAAGTAGCTGAAACCAGTTATTAAAGAATCGTCACTTCATCAAGAGAATTTTTTTGAAAATGAAAACAAATACTAACATATAGATACAGGAATTTCATCAAACGCTTATGAGTTAGAATGAAAGCGATATTGCCAGTACACTCCTCTACCACCGGCAAACGATGCACTTTCTCTTTACAGAGAACTTGAATTGCTTGGAAAAGGCTAAATAAATCTCCTTTAAAGAAGAAGTTTCGAAAGAAAAAAAAGAAGACAGAACTTTTCAGTTATAAAAAAAGCTCGCAAATAAAAAACATAACTAAATTAAAATGGTAGATGAAGGATGTATGAATGAATACCTTTCGGAAGGATTTATAGATACCAGAGGTTTCAAATAACCATCCCGCTCCAGTTCTTCACGCCAAGTTGCTATTTTATGTTTTTCAAGATCCTGCATGCCTTCACTTTTTGAATCATTCTTTACATAATATCTGTAGGATACGACTTAATAAAAGCCACATGAAAAAAAAATTACAATGACACTTCAAGTTGTATTCTTTGCGTAAAAGAGCATAAGATTTTAAAGACATAGAGTCCCGGAAACAACTCAAATAATTTACAACCAATAAGTAAAAAGTATACGGTTGTAAGTATAGGAGAGAACAAAGCTTATTAAAACAACGCTACAAAAGATTTTATAAAAGATAAAAACCAAATCTGGTTGTCTTCATAGAGTTTGCAAAAGCGTTGATGAGACAAAATATTAGTGAAAAAAACCCTAAAGTATAATTCTTATGGATTTGCACTGCTGCGACATTTCCATAACAGAAAACATTCATACTTTTGAAGTATTCGAATAAAATCCGTAATAGTGAGCATGCCAACAAATTCTTGTTTTCTGCTATCCCATAGTGGGGCTGCTCGAACTCCATTGTAGATAAGAGCGAAAAAGGCCTTCTTCACCTATAAAATAGTTGTGCAAACAAAAAAACACTGTCTTTGCAACTTCTAATCTTGACTAGAATATTAAAAAATAGAATAAAATAAAAAGAAATTAAGACGCTCTTGATAAAAAAACTATTATTTATATCGAATTATAACCATTTTACTTTCTTTTTGCAGCCCCTTTTCAACAACTAATTCCATCCACATACTAGTTTTTCATTCCTCTATGCTATAAAAATGTTTACTCCTAAAGGTTTTTATTAAGGAAATATAAACTAAAAATGAAGTATCCTTAAATTAATGAAGAGTAAGAACTTGAAACTACTTAAAAATCTTGGAATATGGAAATAAACCTAACCTGTAGTTCAGTATCAAAAACCACTAATTTCGTACTTATAGGAATTAGATCGTAGCATTTGTGTGCGCGCATAAACGATGAATAAACAGCATCCTGACTTTCTGTAACTTCAACTCGTATTTCTTGAAGATTATTAGTTTAAAACACCAAAAATAAAATGTAGCAAGTGTTCGAAAATCTATTATTTTATAAAAATTATGAAGAAAAATAGCTAGAAATAAGGGAAGCGAACCGAAAATAACTTTGAAGAATTCGGGAGTAGCTCCATCATAAGACGGGTACAGTGGTAACTGCTCGGACGACAAGTTAAATGGACTCTGGAATTAATAACTTTAATTAGAAAACAAAAACTTACCCACTCTTGCGTCTGAGGGCCATCTTTCAAAATCGTATATGATTGGATGTCCATATCTACTAGCAATGAAAAGGCGGGGGACAAGAAAATGAAGCAAAAGTTTCCCGAAACTGTTGAAGTGAAAGATTAGTGGAAATCGTTGAGAATTAATGGAAACGCTACAGCTATTTCTTAACATATTTAAGGAAGCGTCCAATGTTCCAATATGCCTCAATTATACGACATGGAATTTTCAATGAGACGTTTTTTTAATATATTTTGGAACTGAGATTTTAGTTGTCCAAAACGTAGTTGCTGAGCATTAGAATGGATAAGAGAGCTATTTTATTGACTGACAATGATAAAAAAGAAGTTTTTTCCTATAGACCGAATCTTTTTCGTTTTTACTGGTATCATCACTTTGCCTGTACAGTACCTTTCCTACAGCTACATTTGTATAACAAATAAAATTCAGAAATCTCCAGTGTAAAACAAGAAATTTAGCAAACTATAGAATGTGATAAAAACAACCGAACGAAAGACTAGAGATAGAAAAATCTGAAAGTTGAAAGTTTAATCGAACTATGGCACTACAATTGACTTCACTGAATGTGTAAGTATGCACGGAGAATTCATCATACATTAAGATATAGAATAAATTCGTTATGCATTAAGATACAGAATATGTTTTCCCGCAAACAAACAACAGCAATCGAAAATTCTCTAATTTGCACAGCTGCCACTAATTTTACTTGTTGTTATAGAAAACAGTGAAAAGCAGATATTTATACGACTTATAGTTCCAAACATTACGCATTTTAAGTGAGTTCGTTTAGTACGTTCTAAAGAAAAACTACTAGTTTTGAGAACACAAAATCCAATGAAAGAAAATTGACGAATCCAAGCGTGTTACTATAATGAAGAAAGATAGACGACTAATGAAGTAGTTATAAATAAAATTTTATGCAACTCAGAAATGCTACATGATGCAGTCAACATCACTCTCATGAGTTTATATTTTGTTGAGCTGCTCTGTCAATTTCTAGAGTATAACTGAGCCATTTCTCAAAGTTAACCGACAGGTTTGCAGCCAATAAATTTGTAGCAGAAGTTTTAACTTAATTAATAAACATAAAATCCTCGGAAATATGCCAAATATGTAATCCATTCATCGTGGTGTAGACAGACTCATTCAGTTTCGAGTAACATCTAATTACCCCACTCTAGTTTACTTCTTTCTTGACATCCACATAATTCTCAAATAGGAACAAAATAGGAAAAGAATACCTTAGAAATCATAAAAGCCATAATTCCAATCTCATGGAAATGTTCATAAGTAACTAATGTTCGGAATCAATTCGAAACTTAGAAAGTAATAACAGTAAAATTTTGCTTTGAATCGTTGATACTGTACAATAATTTGTATGTTTTGCTCTCACGTTTGCTTGAAAAACTGTCCAAAAACTCTAATATCTATTATCAGTGGTTCATGTAAAATCAAAAATAATGTGCGAAACGAATAAACTAGGATCAAAACTTTAGCACGTGAAGAAAGGAAGAAAGGAAAATAATAACATAATAGTAGAAGTAACATAATAATAATATTAACATAGTAAATTTTATAGTAACAAGTTTTCTTGTAGCATAGAATAAAAGTCGGAGTTGACTAGCAAGTAGGAAAAATATGGAAAATTGTGCAATATAATAATATTACAGAAAAGAGAGATGGGAAATTTTTTAAATTCCTATAAAGAGATCTAAGTCATATAATCATTATCGTGATGATTCTCGAATGCAGGTTATCAATAAGTTAATAAACTTAGAAAACATAGAGAAAATAGAGCAAAAAAACAGAATTTGCACAATGCCACAATCACAGAGGCGTCTACTGATTTGAAATCAAAAAAGACTTTATAATATTTCAGAAAGACTTCAAATTTCGAGAATGTTATAATTTAACTGATTGTTAAATCTAAGCGAATCCAAGCGTATTATAGTAACACGCTTGGATTCGTCAATTTTCTTTTCTTGTCGCAACGTGTTTCGAAAGCTCATCGTTCTGCCTTGTCCTTATCATCACTATATTCAAAACTAAACAAAGATGAACTGCCAAACCCGTTACATAATATATTCAATGATAAGCAGTTTCAAGTCTTCAGAGCAGATATGACTGGCACTAATTTTATGGGGAATTTGAATATAAGTGTGTAGAATTTAACCAAGTATAAGAGGTGAATTTTAATCTTTCTAAATAAAATTGTAGAAACTAAATGATGCCTTGTAAAACACTGCAACAGCTATCGCAAGAGTATATACTGTATGACTTTGGAGAGATGTTGCTGTCGATTTTATGACGACCGTATCATTGAAACATCTGTTTGATAACTTGAAAAAATAATGAATAAAGTTGGGATTAAAAAAAAAACACCTAAAAAAAAGCGAAATGAAACTCCAGTGACCTTATCGCAAAATTAATCTAAATTTAATTTTATGTCAAAGAAGACGTTCATGTAGAAGAGGGTTGAAATGAAGAGATTATAAGAGATAGTCGAAATGCAATCTAGAGTAAGAAGTCTGAGTAATGCTACTTGCTAGTGTTTTTTGGGAAAAAATTATCTAACCCAACAAAGCAATATCGCTATTAATCCGAGCAAGAAAGATAAGAGAGACTAAGCTACAGAACTAAATTTGCTTGTTTGTCATCAAGATTGTTCAGTAGCATATCTCTTAATGACTCCAGGGTGAATGAAATTTTTGAATTTAGGGTCAGCAAAAACCACTCCTATAAATTTACTATAGATTAACTGCCACAACTACATTTTCAAAAAGAAAAGAGAATCGTGTACTGTATAAATGTGTAAATTAAAAATTAGTCAAAATAAATAAATGTAGCAGTTTCACAGTACAGAAAAAGAAAGTATAGAATAAAGTATTTTACCAATCTGCTTAAAAATATAATTATTGATTCCAAGTGCATGAGTCTACTACGAGAGATTCATTAAGCATCAAGAGGATGAAGTGTGCACGACGCAGCACAAAAGTTCAGTTCTTCCCACTTCAGAATAATTTTTTTTCAAAACCCGCAGTTTTAACTCTTTTACCATATAAAATGGATATAACTTCCATACAGTATTTGTAAAAGCGAAATCAGTGCGGGTTATAAATATATAGGACATATGACAGAACTTTCAGAATTGATAACTTCGGTCACTAGATAGGCCACTGACCCTCATTTCCACCATTTCTAACCTCCTAAGCTTTTAAGTAAAACTGGAAATATTGCAAGATATATCTAAGAATTTGCATCATTATTTTTGACAGTGTCTAAATTAAATACGATGAATGAAAAATGTAAGAATTAAATGAGTTTGGCATTAGTTCCGGAATATTTCCCAAAATTTCAACACTCTGAACAATCGAAGATCAAAAATAAATTACGTTCACATTATAAAAAGTGACAAATTTAATTTGCAATAAAAAGTAAACCTCTTTGATAAGAATTGCATAGTTACTGAACGGTGACAGTGGTTCAGGCTCAAAACGTCGTGTAATTTGTAATGTATTGGTATTAAAAGCTGCATGTTCTTTGCTAGTATGTGCTGAAATAAGTTTGCATTAACAAAATCATAAACTTATTAACTAAGCAAATTCATATTTAGTATTCAATATAAGTGAAACTGAATGCATATAAAGCTTTCATAACATCAAAATTTTTATACAGCAAGAAATTTCAAAGACTTCAATGTCAATTCCAATTCAGACTCTTTGCAAAAATGATAGCGGAACTTACTCAAGGGAGACTGGTGCTTTTCAAGTGTATCATATCTATCGACCTCGAGATGGAGAGGATTGGAGTGACACTGAAATAGAAAACACAACACAAAATACTTTCTTCATTGCTAAAAATTTCATATCTATTCTTCAGGGGTATATTGAAGTTACTGTGCTCTTTTAAGAGTGGTTTTGCAATTAACTGACAAGAAAAGTAAGTAAAATAATCGTGCCGACTAAAATTGATCAGTCAGTTTACATCGACAAACACTAATGAGTTTTCATCTCCTTATTACCTTGGTGAGAGTTCTTTGCAACATCATTTCAATATTAGCCCAACACAATACATGTTGGAAAAATCAAGTGTGTAGTAAATGTACGAATCAAATCATACCGGCAGGTTCCACATACTTGATCTCATTTCGACTGCACTTGATGGTCCATGCCACTGATTATCAATATCTATGACTGCAACATTTGTAGGTTTTGCATCAACAAATAGATGATTCGATGGTATTGACGAACTTGAGCTTTTCAATTCTGGTAGATCTGTTACGCATACGCTATGCCTTTCATTGCGAACGCGAAGGTTATGTCCTGAAAATGTATTCATAAAATCACATTTTTTAAATTGGTTAAGTTTAAGATGGAAAAATTAAATACCATTTCGAAATATATGATTGTTGTAAAAATGGCCTTTATCATCTTCGATGTTATTAGCAGTAATAAAAGTAAAACAACTCACTCTTTGATTGTTTTTCTAATCTATTTGGAAATAGCACTATTGTCCCCAAGCTTTGACGACAAAACAATGGACTGCCTGTTGCATCTGAACGAGACCTTGATCGAAACGCTGTACTAAATAATGAATCTGATTGTAATGAACCCATATAAGTTCCAGGTGGTGTGTCATGCGTAGCTGGAGGATGTCCAAGATCTGTAATTTCCTACACTAAAGTAGGAATATAAATTATGCGCATTGCTTGAAACTTGAAATTTGTTGTGAGACTTGTAAACTAAATCCATAGATTAAAATGCAAGAGATAACACAGTTTAAAAAAGAAAAAAAAAAAAAAAAAAAAAAAAAAGTGAACAAAAATGAACTGAACAGCAAAAGGAAGAAGCTATAGGCTTGACGATAGCCAAATCTAACCAATCTAATAATAGATTCGTATAAAAATGATGGGAAATCACACCTTCATCAAGCATTTCATTATCACAAGCAGATATATTGAGTGACTCACGATACGTACGTAAATTCAGGCGTTCTCGAAAGTTATCCATTAGAGTATGCTCCGCCCTGGAAGAAAAGTAGAATGCACAAAATGATATATGTACTGAAAACAACCGTTTTAAAAAATACCTTCATTTCTGCGATTTCACTTTGCAGCGAAATCTAGCAGACAGTTAGTGCATGTCAAAAAGTCACCGTCTGAAAGATGGAATCGGCACGTCAAACTCAACATCACCGGACCCACGTCGAGTATAGACATTATGTTGATGACTGTTCCCACTATGACCTTGACGTGTTCCTGGTGTATACGATGTCATTGCTTAATTCCTAAAACATCCTCATTCAACCTATATATATATATATGCAGATAGCGTTTAAGGATTAGATTAATCCTATTACATATACAATATGAACTATTTAAAACTTAGTTGACGACTTACTTAACAAGCAATGTTCATTCGTAAAATATCTATTCCAACCTTCTGCGAAAGATAAATAAATCTCATTACATTTCCTAGTAGTTTACATAAACTCATTAACACAAATTATCGAATTGCAGTTTCACAGAAAAAGGAAAACAATAATGAGCTAAAATTTTAATCGGTTAGTCGAATGATTACAAACTGGAAAAAAAATTTAAGAATAAAACTGATTTCTACAAAATCTTGGGAGAAGCTAACCTTTCTTTAGAGAAAATTGCAGTCTTCTCATATTTCTATAAAATGAAATCATGTCATGAAATTTCTTAAAATGATAATTTTCAGTCCAATTATATTTATCTGATGAATTATATCTATAAATTATATCTAAAATATAAAAAAAAATGACATCTAAGACCAATTATATCCAAAATAAATTATATCTAATAAAAAAGTATACCGCATACTTTTTCAAATCTAATTGCAAGTACCACATACAACAATCACTAGAACAAAGATATCAATTCTAGTTAGTAAAATACATTACTTCTCATTTAACTGTATGCATTAATACTTCACTAAATCTTAGGACTGCTATTCGACGAATAAGTTTGGTCAGAACAAAAGTTTAAAGTTTCTTCTAAGTTTGAAAATTTCCTTTGAACGTTCTGCCAGGAAATATAAGCTAATAGTGTCTTGTCTTCCTCCTACATTTAAACTGAATTGAAATTTCTATATCGTCACTTCAAGGACGTATGAACAAAAGCATGAAACGTGGGCATTACTCACAAATCGAGAAGACAGTACAACAATCATTCTGAAGAAGTGAAAATTTAAAGCCGATCGAGCGCACAATTTCGGCTAAATATGTGGAAATTAAAGATTCAATCAGTTTCAAAATTACCAATTTTTGTTGAAAGGTAGGCATGACTGTACAAAGAAGAAAATATTGCCTACATGCTATACGCTGAAAATAATTATACCCTAGCTCTCTATGACATTTCTTCCGAGAAACGTGTTGCGATATGAAAATTGCAGCACATAAGATACGTACTTAAAGAAAGGACACTAATGAATATTGGCAGATGGATAGCACAATACTAAAAACGTGGGCCAATAATGAAAGTGAGTGGTTTAATAGCTACGTGGATAAGAATACGAATTCGTGGCTGAACTCTACGTACACTGGCAAGTCTTAAAATTTCTATTTCCTGTTCCGGCAATCCATATAAATTAACAATTCTCGCGCCGTTATTTGCACTCTTCCTTCTTCCCAAATTATTCTATCACACGCGGTTTTATTCAGCCAATATATTTCGCATCGCAGGACAAGTCATCTTATACTACTTGTGTCAAAATAGCGAAAAAGTTGGGCAAAATTTCGTCTGAATGATATTAATTAAACATTCATTATATCAGTTTGTTGTGACCGAACAAAAAGAAGCTGAAGATGTGCAGCAATAAACTGTCTCTATATTTTGGCTGGTATACAACGATTATGCTTTTACCTATTTCAATCATTCTTTATTTTTTACCAAAAATGACACCCGAAGATGGATTTAATTATTTGCCAATATTAACTGGTTACGTGAATCCTCTTGGATGAGACAGTGGGATATACATTAATAAAGAATATGAACTGCACTTGCATAAACCCATCCAACCTAACTAACCTCACGTGACCTCGTGCGACAACTACGTGCAAACCAAGAGAGAACATGCGTTTCCCGCCACAAACACTCTCTATTTACTGGATTCATGCCAACATCCACTGTTGCAGCGCTATCTTGTTCTATTCTATTCGCTTAATTCTTGGAAGTATCAATGAAAAATTATTCGTAGTGTAAGGAATAGGTGCAATTTACATGTGTCTAAATATGTAGACGTAACACTTTTCATTTAGCTTCAAACGCAGAGTTTATCATTGCAGTGAGTATAAGCACTCAATTAATCGAATAAAGGAAAGGTGATATGAATTCAAATCATGCATGCATATGAGGAGAATATACAACTCTATGAGAATTTCTTGCCTTTTTGCAAGTTGCTTAACTTATGCAATAACAATGTCGAGAATGCCTGGAATATATTCCTAAAGGTGAGCAAATTAACATATTTTTAGAGAATGTGTGCAATTACTACTCCGAACACATTATTACATATTTAAAAATGAAATTATCTGGTACGCTCGAAAAGGGGTTAGAAAAGTTCTCATTGTGCTCTCATTGAGGAGAGGATAGGAATACAGCAGTGCATGCCGTTAATATCACAGATTATGTTTATGCCATTCCATTATGTTATATACAAACAGCGTACAATGGGCGAAGGAACGGAATTATTCGATTAAAAGGTTTGGTTTTCAAATAGTTTATGTTTCTTTGTCAATAAATTGGTGGTTTGTTTGTAACTTTTTTCTGTAAAACAACAAGTTTTTTCTCATTTAAAGGACAAAACAAAGATGAAATATTGCTGATATCGACAAAAAGCATTTTAAAATGTATTTGAGACTTTCAGATGATATCAGTCTGCACTGAAAATCAAATTCCTGATTAAGAATAAATAAATTCCAAAACATCGCACTGCAGCTTCTTAAATTATTTTTTATAGAAAGGTAGAAGGGATACGTAACGAAGTTTCCAATTGAAAAAGAGTAGGATTATTTAGCAATCAGTTTATTTGAATGAAAATAACTAAGATGAATTAAATCAATTAGAATCTGCTAAAATTTTGATTGGAAAGATTTTAATTAATCGAAATTCAATTCAACTTTATAGTTTGTCTGTTGATACTGTTCTTTTTCCGCTCTGTTTCGTTTACTAATTGTTGCTAGTATCAGGTTGTGAGCATAACGTAGAGCTGTTGACGATACGTTTTATTGTGGTGAATACTTTATTATTACCCGTATTTCATTATGTATTCTTATATGTTTCTTTTTCCGTTTGTTTAATTGCCTATATTTTATTCAACTTTTGCCGTGAAGTACGGCAAAAGTTGCTAAAGTTCGAAATATTTATCCCGTATGTCGTTTGTCATTTTTGCTGAAAATGCTCGATTAATTGATCATACCATTTTTCATTTGAGAATCATTTTTTGCAGATTGCACTGATTAGAATTATGCGAAGACAGTCGATCTAAAGGTTCCTTTCTCCTGTTTCAGGTCATAATAATCACTATATTCTTCACAATGCGAGACTGTTAAATAAATATGTTAGTGTGAAAAGCTATAGGCGGATATAATTCCTGAATTTGTTTGTTTTTAACACATAATATTGAGAAAATGAAGGCTGGAATGAACTGTGGTGAAAGTCCTTGACTTATCAGTTTCATTAAAGCTACTAAACAATGCTTCTCATGATACCGGTTTTCTTTGTCTTTTTTTAAATTTTAAAAACCTGGATTAGTTGTACTACAAGTGCATTAAATTAACTGACATCTAATTTAATACCAAGCGATTCTCTTCCTATATGTTTCTACCAATTATTTCTCAAAAATTTATATGCTTTTAAATAATTCATAATTTTAGGGAAATGCTAAGTATCCATTTCTATTAGAAAGTGTTCCTATCAAAAAGGAAACAGTCAGCTAGGTCTGGAAATAGCAGCTGTTTGGTCTGTTATTTGTTTCCATCTCATGGTTTCGTCTCGTCATAATTAACAATTTGTTAATTTTGCAAACTATAAGGCTATTCCTATAGAGTTAAGAAAGATTACTCTTGAAAATTTTTACTGTTCTGTATTACCAGTAAACATTGTTCATTCCCTGAGCAATTAATATTTTCGAAAAAATTTACATATTATTTTCGAAATGTTTAATAGTACTTTGAAAAGATCATTTTGGTAGTTGAATCATTTAACAAATGTATGTATTGTCGAGAAATTTTATCAAAAATCAGTCGTTATTCATCTCTTCATCTGATTGTGATTCCGAGAATTTTGAGGTATTGATTTGGCTACTGGTGCTGTAGAGGAAGCATTAGAATCCTGTAAATTATTTTTGTTTCATTGGAATTGACAGAAAGGTGTTGTACAAATCATATTGATATTCTCTCTTCTGATTTAATTAGATCATAGTTGTAATTTTTTTCATATTGAATTAATAAAGGAACTTTTTTTTTTGCTATGGTTTTTGTGACTTTTTTCCTGGTCCCTATATTTTAGTGAAATTTTAGTTATTGAATATGCTATACAGAAAATGACTCAGCAGAATTGTTTCCTTTTTCATCGTTATTCGTATCCGGAAGTGTTACAGTAGATTGATGCAGGCATAATCCAGAGGAGCTCAGATACTTACACTCTCTCATTGGACACAAGAATTTACCGTCACATTCTAAATTTCAAACAAATTCATAAGTGAATAAAGTCAGGTTATGGTTCTTAGTTCAGAAGGGTTTTTGAAAATAAGCAATGAGTATTAGTCGAAATTTGCAAAGTTTGGTTCAAATCTAACAGAAATTTGATAATTTAAGAACACATAAACAGAAGTATGATGGTAGGAAAGCAGTTTGTTAACAATAAATTCGAAAATGTAACTCACCTACAAGTGAACATTCATTAAGGCACATTCCACACAAGACATGTAGACAAGGAAATTTAGTTAATTGATCAACTAAGTAAATGTCACCACATATTCCGTCGCACTCTTGCATTGTCGGCTGTGATGATAAACTCAATGAAATTAGTTTGATTAATCTTTACTATGGTGTTATGTTGCACCTTACAACACGACATATTGTAACATTTCGTTCTTCATTGTACATTAGCTTTCCTATTAGTTATGTGAGTAAATGACAATACAAAGCAAACTGTATATTTCGAATTACTAAATTTCACATGAATAAATAATCTCTGGGGAAGAATGTTGAAGCTCCGAAGAATTTGCAAAAATTAACCATCGTTGAAAGTTCATAATCGCTATTGGAGGCTTTTGCATAAGTAATGTTCATAAAGACATGGGCATCAGTAGCGGAATGGCAATCGTTTGCGCAAGGTGTGCTCCTGTTTTCCGACATCTTTCAATATAAAATTTTTTTGAAAAATTCAGTATGTAGAGGATATTTTGAGTTTTATCAAATGTAAGCATAAATAATATCAAGATTTCATTAGAACTAATTTTAAATTATGTAAATTATTTTAACACTTCGTTGGAATAGAAGACGACACCTCTTACAACATGAGAAATAGTAGCAAACAACTGCGCAAAATGAGAAACGCTGAGAAAATATTTCTAGTAGCTGCATATTCAAATTTACTAGAAAAGACAAAAAAAAACGCTGTTTATTCCTCCTAAAAAAATTCTGATCGTAATAAAAAAAAGTATTTATTTAATAGTTTGAATCCAAAACGAATATGGATAAATGAAATTTTACCAGAAGACTAACTCTCATCTTCATCCGAGAAACTGCGCTGTCTTCTGGCTGGTTCATTTAAGGGGATTTAATTGCTATATTAGTTTATTTACGAAAAATCAAGAGGAAACACAACGCAAAAACAATGTTATAAATGTGAATAAGTTTGTAAAAAAGAGATTTCAGGCTTTTAAACAAAATAAAAAAATATATTTTAAACAAATAAAAATATTTTCATCCAAATCCATATACTACTTTTACCTTTATACCCATACTTATTATAATAAAATACATTAATGCTAAACAATCATAATATTTTGTTTTGTAAAATTAACAAAAAGCTCTTAAATTGCGAATTCATTATTGGATTAGCTATTATTCCAGTTTTTCTTGTTGGCCGAGCAAAACTTTATCAGTGCTTGTCAAGTCCCTCCTATCAGCATAATTTTTTTGGTTTTTCCCTTTCTTTGTTATTTTCCTAGTTTCCTTCTCATTATAATGGATGTTGGAGGTATTATAAAAAGTTTGAAGGTATTCTTTCATTACGTTTTTTTATTCATACGGAGGGTAACTTCAAGAAGAGTAAAAATGAATTATCGTAGAAAGTAACTAGCAGAATTATTGTTCAACAAGCGCTTTCTCAATGTATTTCATTCCTCTTTCTTACCAAACAATTGCACATCTTAATTTTCATAAGCGAATTTCTCTCTCACGAACTTCTCTTGGCTAACGTTTTGGTTGAAGTAACATAAATACACCGAGACACTTCATAACACCCTCTCTCAGAACATAAGCACATTTGACTCCCAGTGCTTTTGAAACACCTCAAATTTCTCTGTACAAGTGACGCCAGCAATGATTACGCTCTCCACAACGCCTCAATATCGACTAATCCGATTCATCAATCCACCAGAACTAAAATACTTCAACTGTTGGCTGTCTTATCACCTTTTCCATCTTAACTATCTTAACTCTCCACAGCATCCTTAGCCAATGACAAAATTGTACCTCAACTAAATCATTCTTAATTTCGAAATCGTCATCATCACTCAAAAAGTCATTTTGCTTTTTTCTTTTTTTATTTTCATAGTCATCTAGGTAGTTCAGTTTGCTTTCATAATTAACATATTTGTAACCATTCAAGTAATAATGACTTTCCACTTTCAAATGCTGAAGCTACTTTCTTTCAGATTTTCAGGTTTGTTGATAACTTGTTCATTAAAATCTCATTAGTATCATTAGAAAAAAAGTTAATAGTTTTGTGGATTTATTTCATTTTTTAGACTTTCATTGCTGATTAATGAGAATTAATAGATTCAAGCAAGTCGATAAAATAACTAATTCTTCTTTCAAAATTCAGTGATTCGTTCCTGACCGATTAACAAAGAATTTAATTGTGGATTAACCACAATTAAATTCTTTGATGAGAAAGCTAATTTTGATTTATTACTAAATGTTTGCAGTAAAAGAAGTTTCATCACTGTAACCCTGTGCACCCACGACTAGTTCTACTCGACATTACATTAACAGGAAAACCGTTGCATGCAGTGGCATATTCATTTTAAAAAATAGTGTTTCCATATAATTTCAAGCCACTTCAAGGAAAAAGTTTTTTTGGAAGACAAAAAAGTTACGATATGTTTTTTTCTTGCTTGTTTTTGAAATTGTCTTAAAAAAGCATTTAAAATAGAAAAATAAGTTGAACTATAACGAGAAAGATGTTCTCATTAACATGTTCTCATTAATATGTATAAGGAATCAGGATCTTAATTAGCAGCTAATTAAACTAAGACACATACGAATGGATAAAAGATTTTTATCGCTTTGCTTCTATATTATTACAATTTTTTTCTGCTATATCTGTTTATACTAATTTATTTTAAAGATGTTTTTCCAATTTTTATTTTTCATCTTATAGCTAAACTTGCATAATCCATTTGAGTAAGTTATGATGCAAATGTATTTCATTTATAATGGCCCATGACATTTCATTGATCAATCATTTTATATTGTATCATTTATTTTGAGCGGTATGTTGCCTAAGTTGGCAGAAGCATTTCCGAATACTTATGATGAGGATATGATGCTATTTCGGTTCGAGAAAAGCTTTCTGAATTGGATTCTATGGACAATGATAATACTGGATGCAAAGTCGTTACGCAAAAGCTATTTGCTTTTTAACCACGTATTGTCCACTTTTCGGAAATAATTTTTAAGTTTGATTATTTGGACCTAATAACATTCCCCTGTAATCCTTATGATTTTATTTAGAAGCTAGAGGACCAATAAGGATAGGATAGTGAAATATTCCAGATCGGTACTTAAAGTAGTTTTTAATAAAATTCCATCTTCCATAAAATTAATCAATAATTGTTCCAAACAGAGAAAATAGAAGTGAACAATATTTAGTACTGGAACATAGAGCAATTGAGCAAATCAGTAAAAAAATAGAACATTCCATTAACGAAACGGTAAATCAGGAACCGAACGAGCAGCGCGGAAAGAGGAATCATTTCCTCTCCCTTACTTCGGTTCTTTTTTTAGCAAATTTACATTAAACTTCTTTCAGCTTCATTTTTTGCGAGTTATTTAACACAATGAATAACGATCACAATGAATCTATAATCAAAACATAAATATTTTAATGCGACACTTTAATATTGCAGTATTTCAGTAGGGTAATAATCCCCACCTCACATACATATTCTTAATACCACCAATTTTTTGTTTCTGGCAACGAATCTTCTTTCCTGAAACAGCTCCTATTAGAGTCTTTTATGAACTTACCGTATCACATAGTATTTTTGCTTCTATACGGATTAATTTCTGCATGTTCAAACTTTCCATGAAATGCCAAAAAGATTATCTCAAATTTTATTAGAATGAGGGAAAATGACTAAAGTTGTTATCAGATCGAAAAACTTAGTATTATTAACACTTATCTGATGTTAAAATCTTAAAATTACACAAAATGGAAGGAAAACTTGAGGGACTTTTCATGACAGTGGCCATTTTCCTTCAAAGCTCATTATTGATCTAAGAGGTCACACTTATACAACACCCACTTTATGCCATTATCGCTATTGCTACTAACTAATGTTCATCTCTGTGATCATCTCTCCAACACATTTTTGGAAATAGTTAGTTTTTCATTTAAAACTCGGTCAATTTACATGTTCAAATGATTGAAAATCAATTTTTACTGGTAATTAAATTGAGCACACGGCCTTGTGGCCTAATGGATAAGGCGTCGGACTTCGGATCCGAAGATTGCAGGTTCGAGTCCTGCCAGGGTCGAAGCAGCATTTTAGAGGGAAATAAATTAATATTGAGGATCTTTCCGAAATTTTAGACTTGTTCCGATTTTTTTCCGCTATGCCAATAAATCAGAAAGGCCATAAACTCATTCATTAAGACGGTTCTCAGCTTAAAATGATTCCAAGCCTAGATACTAGATAGGTTTTTCTAGAAATCGTGAATTGTTCTCTAGTCCAGTGCAATTCAGTTCAATCTGGCCAAGTCCTAAAGTTGTTCAGGTTATGCTAGTTCTTTCAACTTTTCTGAGACTTTACTTTTCTATTAATTTTTTTTTGTTAAGCTGTTAATTTTTTCATTTTACATAAACAGTAAGTGGTTCATTACTGACCTTTCCACTCACCAAAAATTCCTGTTTATTCATGGACTAACTCAGGGATTTAGCTATTTCTTGATAATTTGTTCATATTGAACTGGACTATATAGATTTTTCTCGAAAATCTTGTCTGCAATAATCCTCGCCAAAATTCATTCTAATTTATTTATTAAGATGATTTCATAATCATCGTCCAAAGTACTGATACAAATTTTTTCTATTAAAATCTCTTTCCACTTCTTATTATAAAAATTTCATGATATTAGTCTACAGGAGAAAGCTAAGATACAAGTTGTATTCCTCCTACCCTCGCCATGACAATCCTTCTGTACTTTCAATATCAATGATTAGCAATATAAGTAAAATGCAAGTCTGTTGGCCACAAGATCCGCAATATATGAGCCAAAATTTCCATTGCAGCTAATTGTCTTACTCCTTCTCACTAGGCCATTTAACATCATAACATAAGCACCGAATGTAAAGACTTGGAAAATATCAACTTTTGTTTAATCCTTAATTAAGCAGGATGTGTAGATTTCACTCTAACTTAATTGAGAAATGTTTGTTCTGTTTATTCTGTTTGCTCATAAAACAAAATTAAATTAAGCAAAATTTCAACAAAATCAAATTAAATATTAAAATAAGGAACTGATTTCAAAACTTTACATTGTTGCAACATCACTTCACAACGAAGTCAGTTGAATAATCATAAATAATCGCTTTCATGAAACAGTAGCAAAAGTGCAAGGACGCACATATCAAATCAACCTGAAACCTCAAAGTCCCACCGCACTACTCTCACTCAACTGCAAAATACATGTCAGGTAGCTTGGCATCAATATATACCCTATACAACTCCAATCATCAAAAATCATTCCCCTCCCAACTGCTTCAGTACATTGTTGTATTATGTGAGTAACCATATCAGACTCGCTCGTTTCCCTTTACTGCAGACCGAAAAAGGGGCTCACGACCCTGGCAGGACTCGAACCTGCAATCTTCGGATCCGAAGTCCGACGCCTTATCCATTGGGCCACAGGGCCACATGCAATTCCTTTCCTCTTTGTATGATGTTATGGAGAATAAAGTATGGTGAGAATTTCAATTGAACATGGAGAGAAAAGACGGACTGCATGCACGTCATGGCACGCAAAAACCAATACATGCAGATCTAACTTGCAGCGGAGAGCTGCATGATAACTGCTTTCAACATGCTCTTTTGAATACACTGTGGTTCTTACAGATGTACAGTGACGTATCTTCTGTGCTGCTTGACATAGCTGAGAGAGAGAGAGAGAGGAAACAGGGAGAAAGGTGTGGAAGAGAGACCAAACTCGTGAAGCAGGCCCGTGCTGTTGTGGTACATGGATGCAGTCTTCAGATGACAATAGTGATGAGTCGTGGTGCCGCTGGGATGGCGGAAGAGCGGAAAGCGTATCATCTCACATCTCACGTCCTCTGTCACATCCCTTAGTGGCAATGACAGTGACCAAAGAACGCGGAAAGATATTAAAGTTGCTGATGAGTCGAGCTGTTGAGGAGATTGGGCAGTTGGGCGCATTATGTAAGTTTATTGTACTGAGGTTGATGACTGATGCCGCCGATGTACGCACACCAATACATCACTGTTTGGCTTGGCGTTGCATACAACTATTACTTATAAATGACTTGAAATGAATCGATAAGAGGTGCACTGCTCTATTGATTTTATCGGCTCATTTGTTCATTGAGCACACATCAATTTCATAATGGTTATGCTTTTTAGAATGGTACACGAATAGGCATGCATGAACATGCAGCATGCATTCATTACTTCCACTAACTACCGTAGCAGATTCCTACTATTTAGAGATAAGCGCAAAGTAACCAAATCAAATGAATGCATTGGTTAGATTAGGTAAATGATCCCAACCATTCATTAATAATGTGCAGAAGACTACCAATCAATATCATTGCAATTTCTCAATTGTAAAATGTATCAAACATCATTTGTTCAATTGATCAATTTAATAGCAGAAATAATAAAGATAATTGCCTTACAGCAAAGTAATAAAATAAGCAAAGTAATAATAAAAGTTTTTAGAGACAAAACAAAATATGTAATTAAAACTTTATTTTCTCCTCAGCGATTCATTATCAATGAATGGATCCTTTATATTTACATCTGTGGTACTGAGAGAGATCTAAAAATCTCAGTGAAATTAGCATTTGTCAGAACGAAATCATCCAATCAATCAATCAATCAATCAATCAGACACATTTTAGACTTCGGCATTCAGCAGTTACTGAGCAGTGAAATGCAACAACCGCCTAATTCAGCGCAACATTGCGAGAATCCACCTTTCTGTTGCTTATTATTCTCCTTCTGATTTACTCTTACGTCTGAAATTTCTCACCTGGATTTATTCTTAAGATGGAAATTTGTATGCTTTTATTTTCTTTAATAATTTTTTGTTTGCTTTAGTAATTAAGAATTATTAAGAGGATGCTTCTAAGATAACCACAACAAAATATCAATAAATCAATACTGGAAATGACTCATTTTGTGCATGACTGCAGTTGGCAGGGATCCGCAGAAAGTTTTGAAATGCGTGGAAGAAAACGAACCAGTAATCGAGACTTGATCGTGCATCTCTTCCCTGATTTACTAAAACTTTGTAATCCTACCGAGACTTCCCTACTTAAATATTTAATAAAATAACCTCCATCAGTCTTTATTTTGGTACCACTGGGAGATAAATTTGTCGGCAATGGTTGCATGCCAATAATTGCTGATTTCGAACCGTATTGTGAGGAAAATGATGGCTGTAAATATAATTCCGGAAATACAACGCTTCGATGTACTGACTATATATATGTAAATGCAACTAATATCATATATCTATCTATCAGGTAAGTATAAATACTAATCAAGAAATTCAGAAAGAAAATTATAGCTTGCGATCAACTTTGAGCTGTTTAAGATCCTTAAAAATCGTTAAAAAGTCTTCTTTCCTATCCTTTCCTTTTATCACGTGGAAACCAACATTAGTTTCAGATTTGATTTCATTTATCTCTTCTACAACAATCGATCCGACCATTTCAGCTGGCGAACTATTCTCTGATCTCTCCTTTACTATTTCTGCATGTCGACTTTTACCTTCAATGCAAAACACATTTCATAGGAAATCAAATTTGCTGAAAAAAGCAAAGACAAAAACTTTAAAGTAAAACATGATGTGAGGTATTGTAGAACTAACTTTAATTTATTTTTAGTGGTATCGTACTACATCCGGAAATTTACCTGAATTTTCAAGTCCTGCTTTCTATTTCTCACTTTTTTTTTTAGTAAATTCAAGTGGTTTTTAGAAAATTTTAATGTTTTTAAGACTTGAGTGAAGCATGACTCTAATCAGAAGTGACAGGAAGGTGGACGGACTTGAAATGAATTAAAATAATGAAACATTTCTTTGCTTAAAACTTATAAGTCAGTTTACTTCAGGTCACAAGAAAAGTTCCTTTTATTTATATCAGGTTGTACTGGAATAAATGACATTTTTCTGTATTCACCAAAATTCTATGAACTACTGCATTTTAAATAAAAAAAGAAGTTTAAATCTTTATTAAAAAAGAAAATGAAAATTTATAAATCTGTGAAAAGAAAATGTTATATGCAAATGCCAATTGAAGTTAAACCAACTATCTGTGCATTAAAAAGTTAGAAAAACATTCAAGTTTGGATTAAATCATTTATCGAAAGAAATGGATAATTTTAGGCATGTGAAGTATTAGGAAGACAGTAAAGGTTTTGATATGAGTTGAATTTAGAAAAGAATATTTGTCTTCACCATCTTTTAATCTGGTACCAGAAGAACATGAGCCATAATTATTTCCATAATGTCTTAATACTATTCGGGTTGTCGAGGGTTCAGCACTTCAACAGTTTATTGCATGAAAAAAAAAGGTATGAATAAATTTACCCATAACGCCTATAACAGCCTTTTTTCACGTCTTCTGAATTAATAAATCAAAAAGAGATTAAGAGAGTGAGGGCTGATAAAAGAAGGTTATTTTCTGTTAAGATTGGGAATGTTAAGGTTCAAAAAAAGAACATCGACCGAGAAAAGGAAAGTTTTAGTTTTTATTGACATATTATGGATAAATGTGAAGACAATCTGATAGATTATTGCAATGAAGACTGTTTCTCCGCTTACTCACTTTCTGAGAATTTTAAATACCTGTGAGGAATGAAATTTTTAAAAATGGGTGAAATGAAAACTGTAAAAGTATAAGCTATGATTGATAGGATAACTTTGTTGAACACTGCCAACAGATGTCTCAGCTGTAACTTCAAATGAACATCAAAAAAGGGATGTACATATAAATAGGAGAAATAGACTGAAAATTAAATGAAATAGGAATTAAAAAACAAAGTAATGATAACTATTAAATCGTTCAGGTAAGAATAATGCAATATATATTCCTAATGGCTCGACTTACGTGGCGGAGACAGTCCTGGACTGTGAACCATTTTATCATTTAATTAAATCACCTTCTGTTGGCAAAGTTGTTCCACTTCGCTTAATTTATTATGAAAATTTCAGGATGAAAATGAATTGAATTATGAGGCAGGTAATGGATGAGTTACGATTTAAGAAGTTTTCTATATAAATATTTGGAGTTTCAATCACATTGAAATAAATAGTGAAGAATTTCGTCTCTAAATGTAATGTACTTCTTCCTTTGAAGATATCTTTCCATAATTTTAGCAGTCAAAATAGCAATAAAATATATTCTCACCGGATGACATTGATCGTTGACAACAGCTGCAATCGTTTTTGTCAGTAAGTAAACCGTAATTGTCATCGCCCATTTCAATTAAAGTGAATTCATGAGTTACTCTTAGACCATTCTCCAAAACCCTGATGTTCTCATATAAACAGTAAAAAGAAAAAAATTATATTAAAAAAAAAGCATTAAAAAATAATGTCCTCATATGAAAAAAAAAAACAATTATTTAACAAAATGAGTCAAATAAAAATATTTTCCAATACTAGATGTAATGCAGGAATTTGGAAATTTTTGAAAAGAAAATTAGTAAAATTAAAAAATTCACCAAATTTACTTGGAAATATTTAATAGAATTGTAATACAGAGTTAGACTCACCAATGGATTACTTCTTCTTGAAGATCTGATTTTGAATGCTTTTGAAGGAGTCGACCAGGTGAAATGACTTTAATTACAACCTCAAGTTCATTTTCTGACATTTCCAGAAGAGTTCGCTTTATCTTCAACATTTCCGGTTAACTTCCCTGAAAAAAGCTTGATCACGAAAAGCGATGGAATCAGTAATTACGCCATAATCGTCATCGTCTACTTCAGTTACATGAATTTAATTAAATCAGAGCTTTCTAAGAATCCATTTGTAGAAACAATGATATTCCCAGTGATAGAGGCTAGAAATAACATATATTCCTCCCTAACTTATATTCCGAATTCTTGAAACAACTAAATTCCGTTTATTTTATTTCTTGTCATTAATTTCTAAAACTCTTGCCTGTTGGTAATATTATTAAAACATCAATTTATTCTTCTATTTAAGTTTGACTAATTTCCTAAGAATGAAATATCTGAATTGGAACACCCAATATATAGTCAAATTCACAGTCAGTTATTACTACATTAAACTATTTGTATTTGTAAAAGTTTATCAACAAAAATGTTGATAAACTGATCTCAGTAATCGTTTCGGATAGAACACTTCTGAAGTTTGCCATCGAAATTCATAACTGTTCTCAACTAAAACAAATCATTACCACTGTTATTTGCAATTTTGCTAAAAACGAATCATATGAATCAAATATCGATAAAGTAAACACAACGAAAACATCGCTTATTGGTGCAATAACATAATAGGGAAAATTCCACAGTTCCGGTTCTGTCAATATATTTGTAAGTAATAGGTAGGATCGGTTTTCGCTTTAGATTACCGTTTACTGAAAAGCGACAGTATTTGTTAATTAACATTGCTCATGAAAGGGATGTAAATCTCTTCGATGAGCGTATCGGAAAGAAAAGAACTGTTTTAAATGAGCGATAAATATCTCATTAGCAGCACATTAGTAGCAGTTTAGAAAAGTAAGTAAACTTTAATTAATAAAAAAAGATTTTGTGCTGAATAAGTAAGTTATTTTGGTAATTGACCATGAATGAAAAATTATGAAAGATTTTTTTGTGTGCATTTGATTAACAACGTAACATTAACAACATATGTGTGCAGATTATTTACGGTTGATTGACCGTGTTTATATAAATTTTTTTTTTTTTAATTATTTTGAAAGTTAAAAAAAAGAAAACAAATTATTTGAGGAAAAAGCTTCAGTAGTTGAAGCAATGGTTTAAGTAATTTCATTTTTAGCTTTTTTCGACAAACTTCTATTTTTAAATTATTTTTAAAATTGTAGCGTTTGTTTTATAAGCAAACAAATCGTAGAACACAATTAAAAAAACTTCAAATTTTCTCTGCTACATCTTAAAGCCATCAGTTTGATATTTCATTTAATTTTGAGGTGAGAGATTTTCGCATGGATAATAGAGTATGACTCTATTTAGAGAGAAAATGCATCGCACCACAGGAAAACAACAATTGAAAATATGCATAACTGTATTACTTCATTGCGCTGAACGCTGTATCACTCAGTTATTGTCACAAATGGCATTTGTCGAGAGGTTTTGTTTGAGGCTGGCCTTGTTGTCGAAGTACAACGTGAAACGTGAACCCTGCCAACATCTTAGAGTACTTTTCTCATTAATGATATTCAATCTCACTTCATTCCGCAACATATCTAAAGTCTAACTTTCCAGAAATCCTTCGTGAAAATTAATCATTTTTTCACTTCAGAATAAAGTAAGAAATATGTTCTTGGCTGGAAATAACGAATTATTTGAATGAGTTATCGTATGTCAGTCAGTATAATAGAGTCATTTCTTTTTGCAAGAAGTACGATTATGACAAGCGAAGGTCACGATAAATAGAAATAATGATCAAATTTTACAACTATCGTGCATCTCTTGCACTCATGCGGCGTCATTTTGTGACACTCCAAGGTGTTAATCATTTCCATCTTGCAATTATCTTTTCCTCCATTCATTTTTATCTTCCATTATCTTTCATGTTTTCCATATTTAATGACGGTTAAGCATTCTCTCCCTTTCAAGAAATAAAATTAAATCACGAAAAAATATGCTAAAATGCCTTTGTCACAAGTGGTATTAGTGAAAAAGTTCTATCTATGCAGCATTTTATTTCTGAAAACTTTTAATTAATCTTAATTTGCAGATTATATTCATATTTCTTTCTCCGGTGAAAATGCATTCACTGATAAAGGCTGGACAATGTCTGTTAACAGAATTTTTCTTACCTAAACCAGTGACATTTTCAATTTCTCTGAAAGTTTAATTTTTTAGGAATTTCTGGGAAATCTTCCGCAAATTCGTTCCTTTTATTTCAAATTGCTTAATCCTGTGACTAATTGATCTTATTAATATTGTTAATCGATGATATTGATTAATTACTTTCTGTTTGGAGAAGTGTTCAACGGTAATTGGCAAGTGTAATCTCTTTGTAGTGCTTCTATTCTCGCATGAATTTACATAAATATAGATCTTTTTGAGCACTTTTTTTTCTTTTTCTTTGATTGCAAATTTTAACAGGTTTAGATAAGCTTTTAAGAAAGAATTTTGTTAACTAAATCAATTAATTATACTATAAAATTTGGTAAAATTTTCAATTCAAACACAAAAATGCTTGTCCGGTTAATAAGCCCATCTTATATTGTGAATTCTCTGCTACCGTTGGCTTATGTACTGTTTTCTGCTTACTTATCTTATTTACCCTTTGCTCATTTTTGTTTCCTGAACCAGTTAACTGTGAAATATTTCCAATGACTTGTGCTGCGGCGTAATGCGGAGACGTTTGTTTACATAGGGTTTAAATATGAGAGTATGAGGGTATTCTGCTTCCTTTTATTCATTTTCTTTTTATTTATTTGGTTAATCGACTGCTGGTTACTAAGTATCATTTAGCACTGATTAAGAAGCAATCAGTAATGCTCATCTGTGTGACCTTTGACGCTTATCACTCACTAACACCGAATGACAACCTATGCCACACTTGTATCCCATCTTCAGGTCAAATTCATCACCCTGCATTTGTTCCATCATATTCCCGTAAATTCTGTCGATATAACTATTGATTATTGATTTCTTCACCGAACATTATTTCGATAATTTAAAGATTCGTATTTGTTTGCTGTTGTGAGATTGTATACTTTGATCTGTGGAAAATCAATTTTGTCGATTCTGTCTGTAATTTCCTTTCAGTTCTATCGATTTCATCAGTAATTTTCTTTTATTCAAAGTTTTATTTAACGAGAAATTCACGTAGTTGTTCACTATGAATAATCAAATAGGCTTTAAGTTATTTTAGACCTAAAGTTATTTTCAAAAATGAAATGCTGTACAGTTTGATATGAATATCTTACAGAAAGTGAAAAACTTCGCCTCCAATTCTGACTTTTATTGTCTTCCCAAAAATCCCGAACGTCTTACCAGATAAATTGGCATTTCCTCTTATCAGTAAGTGGGAAAATGTAAGTTCAGAATCTATATAAATGTTACTAAAGTGGCGTTAGAAAAAGAATGAATGAGCAATTAATGAAAATGCTTGAGTCTTTAAATTCTTAGACTTAATTCAGTTAATAAAGCTTAAATGCCAAAAAAATTAAACATGAATGTTAAAAACTTCGTAGGCGCAAATAGAATTGATAAAGAGATTAATTAACATATATCAGTGCATTGAATAAATTTGTCTATTATTACTGACTAAAATTTGATTGAATGAAGTCATTGAAATTTCGATCACTTCCTATTGCAAACAATGCACTTAAGAATATTTTTTTATTACTTTTCCATTAAAATAATTATGATTATTCAACACATCTCTGAAATGTCACGTCACGTGAAGAAAAAGTCAGTCTTCCATCGAAAAATTGCTCATTTATTATTTTCTAATCGACGTTATAATCAGTTTTGAATTATTTTAAACGGGAAATTTCTTCTTAGCAATTAAGCAATAACTTTTCAAATACATTTCCAGTTGTATATTGGAATTACAATATGAATGCATCATCAGTCGGATATTTCGATGTTAACAACCCATTCTTTTCGTTTTCGTTAAAATATTTTTATGTTTTGGAAATCCTTAATGAGATATCTCAACTTTACTACTGCGGAGATAACATTTGCTCACAATCTTCCGACAATCGATTATTCGTCACTGGAATCTAAAATTTCTTAGATTAAAGAAAGAATCCGACAATCTCTTCAAGTAACTATGTTTTCATGTGGAATACTTCCTATGAATAAAGACGAAATATGTTAGAAATGAAAGTTATAATATTCTTAGCTTTGGCAAAACTTAAATAGGGTTTATACATCAGGTTGTTGTAAAAAACTTTAAAACTTAATTTTCAAATCAATTTAAACTTTAGCTCAAAATTTCAGTTTTGAATTTTGTTCCTTTATTTCACCTCTGGGCGTTTTTTTTTTTTGTCCTTATTGTGCTGTTTGAATCTTCAAGCTGTTAAGTGATATTAAAATTTTAAATTTATTTTTGAGTTGAACTTATTTTTTGATATGTGCTGATAATTGGATTTTTACGTATTTTAGGGACTTTTTTCCTTAAAGCATGAGGTGCATTAAAGCTGCTTTTCTAAAGATTTATTTTACTGCAAAAAATGGTCTGCAGATATTTGCATGAATATGTATTGCTGATATAAAAAGAGCAGTGTTAGCTGTTTGCTGCTGATAATATCGACAAGGCTTTCAACCCGACAGTACCTCTTTTGCATTTTCAACATTCCGAATATTCTTCACATTTCTGTATCATTTGTTAATGTTTAATCATTGCTGATGTTATGGATGAATTCATCTGCTTCAGCTCGCTTCATTTTCCCGCATTTATATTATTATATCATTTGAGTAATCCTTTAATATCCGTAACCTAAGCAACCTTCCTTTCATATTGTTCGATAAACATTGGCTACTTTTCATGTTTGCTGCATAATTAGCCAAGCTTTCTTCTCATTCATGTCGGAATGGAGCCTCAAACTATCTCTCCTCTGCTGTTTTGTTATTAATTTTACTTGTCAAATTGGAATCTTTTAAAATTTCCAAATGTCATGAAGTGTATGACATAATATGAAAGTCGCTGCTTATATTGCAGAAAAAAACTTGC